AATATTAATATGAAAATGGGAAAGATCGGGAAAAAAGAATTCACTACAATTAATTCACAACTTTATTTAAAATTCGAATAGATCGATCTTTAAAAAACATGATATCAAATTTTCGGTATCAATCGATAATTGTATATATATAGTCTAAGTTATCCATGCTTCCTGGACAAGTTGAATGACATCTGCTACTACCGGCGGGTACCATAATCATGATATGGAATGATTCTCGCATTTTCCCGAAGTCTGACTGTTTATACTCACTGAAAAAGAATAACCACAAAGTATCATGTTAATAACAAAAATATTTTTATAGGACCTAGTTAGAAGAACTTCGGGTTATTCAGTTATTATAAAGTACATTATATGTATTTCAGAATCTACAGGAAATCCTGGCAACAGAATTAAATTTTTACATTTATATCAGGGACCGTGTACAAGTCCCTGTTTACCCTGTTTATGTGTAGTACATTGTAGGAAATGATATTTTTCATAATTTTTTTTCCAATAATTCGATCCTAATATTATTTACTGTCGCATTTCTATTTTCTTTTGTGGTTTTACGATACAAAAGTGTGCATGAATTTAAAGGTACATACAAACTGTTCAAAGTTGCGTCGGGGTGACGACTTTTGATTGGAAATCCGGGTGAATTATTTTCCGAAATTATTACAGAACCATAATATTCAGATAGGAAATTTTCTCAGCTTTCTCATAGTGTATGTTGCATTAAAATATTTCGATTACTTACCGTAGTAAAATTCACTTCTTTCCTTAGAAACGGAAATGCATAAACTTCTGCACATTGCACTGAGATGCAACATTAACAATGTTAATCTTCAAAATGTAAGCTTTCCTGTGATAGGTTAATGTCGTTAATTCCTTAAAATTCGCCTCCCGGAAAGCCAATCAAAATGACGCTATCAACGCCGCGGAGACAAAACTACAGTGCCATGTATCAAAGGGGAAATCCCGAATTCAATTTTAGCACAACTTCGACCGCGTTAATTTTTAATGCAAACTCTTCAGAATGACATAACACAAATATCATACGAAAGTTCAAACAATGTAGAAAAAATTCATTATATTTAATTTCTCGATAAATATGAATAATAATGCAAAAATTACATTTATAAACATTGATAAATTGTGTTTAAATGGCACGATTACATAGGTAAGTCGGGTTACCTGAACCCCCTACAGTTTGGGTGGGGGTGGTTGGGTGTGGGGCTCGGATCCCCCTGACTGAATTTGTAGAATTATTAAATGTATACATGTATACTGAAGCAAATAAAATATGCCAATATGGATATAAAGATTTGATTGCTTATTCTTTATTATGTGTACAAAAGATTCTTTTTATATGGAATATTTATCACACTGTAATGATGATTTTATGAGTTTGTACAAGCCAGACCTCATAAATTTTTCATTTCACAAGCTGAATAATATCATTTAGTAAAAAAAAAGTATTTCAAAAAAAAAAAAAAAATGGAACGTCCGGAATCCAAACCCGGGACTTCTCAGATGTGAAGTAAGAGACATAGCAATACACCACAGAACTGCTTTTAACTGGTGGAAATTATAATTATGCAAGGATAAAGTCATGTACATGTAGATATACACATTCGATATTGTCAAAATTTTACACAATGCATGGTGTCTAATTTAGCCTTCATTAAACAGTTCTAATAGATGTAATAAGAGATATAAAGTCCGGCGAGAACCTGTATTATACGTAATAACTCTCCTCATGACCCTGTGCTAAAAATAGGGACATGTAATACAATAAATACTAATAAAACAAACGGAGTGGGACACTTTGAGAGGAGTGAGAGAGGTCCTAGGGAGTTTTGGTATAAAATTACATTGCAAAAGCTCAAAATCTTCTTGAAATATCGTCCGGAAATGATAGTGTAACACACAGACAGAATGTAATAAATTTACGACCTTGAACTTTGAGCTTTTGACCTCAAAATCAATAGGGGTCTTCCTTAGGCCACAGGGAGTTGTTATTTAAAATTTTATTCCAAATGCTCAAAGGGTTCTCAATAAAAATCACGCGGAAACCAAAGTGTTATAACAGACAAAATTTGTGAGTTTATGACCTTGACTTTTGACCTTTTGACCTCAAAATCAACAGGGTTCTTCTTTAGTCCGTAGAGAGTTGTTATGCAAAATTTCATTGCAAAAGCTCAAAGCGTTCTCGAGATATCGTGTGGAAACAAAGCGTTACAGACAGACAGAAAGACGGACAGACGGATGGACAGATCCAAAGAACTACGAAAGATAGTATTGTTCTCCCGCCTACCTCTAAGTCAATTCTCAAAAGTTAAGATATTCGAATGATTTTCATAATTTTTACAGATATTTATATGAATTTTCATAAAACGTTACTTTTTTGGGATACCAAAGAGAGAAAACTCTATAATTTTAGTAAAACTTGTGTTTTTCACTATAGAAATCAACGGAAAACGGAAAATGTTTTTAAAACATCCCCCCCTCCGTGAAACAAAAATTCCTTTTTACAGGTAATATGGACTGTCATTTTACAATTTATGCCAAACCTTTTTGTGTTTCACAGGGGGGAACATATGTTTATAGACAAAAAACGAAACAAATGCTGATTTTTCACCAATTTTAAAGCTATTTACAACTAAATAATTGTATTTTATTAATTAATATATGTTTTATTTATTTGCATAAAACATAAGAAAAGATATGAGATACATTTTATCATATTTAAGACTATTTCAAAATATGGTGATTCTTGAAAGTTCGATTTCACCAGAAAATATCGTCTACCCCCCTTTTTTCAAGAGCTGGAATTCATGATAATTGACTTTCTAGCGCTGGAACTAAAATGATTAACCAATTACAATAGAACTGTTCTTTGTATTAAAGAAAGATTTAATGGCCAAATTGCGATGAATATTGAATTTAATGGGTGCAAAATGTAGGCGGGAATCAAGAGTTAGAGTTCATAGTTCTTAATATCCCCCACTTTTCAAGCAGGGGACAACAAGAATATCAGCAGTCATAGTTATTTTGTAAGTTCTATAGTTGATACAATGACCTTGTCAGCAAATACAATTTATCATTGAGTCAAATGCTGACTGACATTTTTTGTCCCATTTGTTCCATTTTCTTTTTTTTTTCTGAAATACTTTTTTTTTACTAAATGATAGCAATGTAAAAATCTGATCATGACCAGATTTGGAAAGTAAAAAATCTGGTCATAATGCGTAACGACATTCACGGCATATTTACCATGATTAAATTATATATATGTGTATAAGTATTTGTGTATTGAGAATTCTTTTTATTAAACAAGAGGCCCATGGGCCACATCGCTCATCTGAGTAACTTGGGTGATGCAGTTCTTGACCTGATTTCCCCTCTTGCTATACCTATCGTGCCCCCTTACCCCCTTCCCTTTCATGATTTTAATACTTTAGAATCTACACTATACCCCAGGATGCTTCCACATAAATTTCAGCTTTCCTGGCAAAGTAGACCTTGAGAAGAAGATTTTTGAAGATTTGTTCTATATATTTACTTTTAAAAAAGAGCATTGAAGGTTTTATATTTCATTATTGACCTGAATTAAGTGTGCATTTTTTTAAAAAGACTTTTCAATTTCTGCTCAATTTGAAAATATTCCAATTTTGGTTTTGAAGTAATTCCCCCTCTTCTTAATTAACTCAATTAACCAGTGATAAAATATGCAGTTTGGCCTTCACTAGTTGTCTTCGATCACTTTATTTTATCTAATGAAATTTGTTTCCAAGATTCCTTGATATGTACATAAATATTGTTTCTCTTTTTCTTGGTTCAATCAGAGACATGTCTCGATCTGGTTCAATTTGTTCCTCCTGGCCCTGATAACGATCTAGTTCTATCGGAAGCCATTTTAAATTGACTTCAGACATTGATTTGTCAAAACAACACCCAATTAATTGTTTACACCTGCACTGATAATGAATCCATCGGCATTGTTAACATAGATCTAAGCTTGGGTCGTAACTGGAAGTTAAAAGTGCAACCTAATTTATGAACCGAGTCTGGAAATCGGGAGATTTTCAGGTTGTTTGGCAAATATAGGGTGAAAAGCATGACCCGCCAGGTCATGAAAAATAATCGGGTTATGGGTTGAAAAATCGGGTGTAACCCGACGAAATTGGGTGAGTTGGCAACTATGTGTGTCGCCTGTACTGTACCTGGACAGTTTGATGAAAACTTAAAAAACAATAAAAGCAATATTGGTAAGTACTAGAAGAATTGTGTAATAATGAAAGATGTGAATCAAGACATTTAATTCGTTTGTATATGTCGAAAATCAACCCAAAGAATGGGCCAGCCTCCAGTTGAAGGTGGTGAATTATCAATTTTAATTATTTTGCAGTTCTGACCTTTTCCTGACATGTCAAATATAAAAATTTTGGTATCGCTTTTATTCAGTTAGGTATTTGTGTGGTGTCTGACATTCTTTTTTACAACACTGCTACAAAATAAACACACATGTTTTATAACATCCCACCTGAGAGATGCCATCACTGGCCGATGGAGGGATTCCGATACAAATTTTGATCTATACTCGGCACTTATGCAACTAATCACCAAGGGATCTTTTTCATATCAGCACTTACTGCAACACCAAGGGATTTTTTTCATGTCAGCACTTACTGCAACACAAGACCTTGGTTTATATGGTCTCATCAGAAGGACTGGTCTCCACTCCCCACAGTGGGATTTGAACCCACAACGTAGGCCTACAGATCAACTTCTTACTTTGGAGCAGACACTCTAACCGCTGCACCTTGTTGGCGACTTTTACAGGGCCTGGAAAACTTCGGATATTTCGGACTACACTACCCCCATCCCAACTGTCAAAGTATGCCTATATCAGTAACATATATCGAGCGATATGTATATTGACATAATAATTGAATAAGTACAGTTATAGTAATAGGCATCAATATTTTACATGCATCCCTCCTAACCTTCACTTTAACCCTCACAACTTCTCTTGACTCAAGTCCAAAGAATCCCGATTTTGACATGATAAGTCATCCAAGTTCCTTTTCTTCTTAGTATGACAGGGTAAGTCCCATCATTCTGACATTCACGTCATCAACATTTCCAGCCGGAAGTACTGTCCGTCCCTCTAAACAAAGCACTGTACTCTATATGAAGCATGTTAAGCAAGCTCCTCATACCTTAATTTACCAGTGGTTACAATTCATTGTGCGAGTTCAACTCTATACCACACACGCACATATGTATCTAAAGTTTGTTTTATATCTTCATGTGTGTGTGTTTGATTTTTTTTATGTGGTCGTTTCATTTTAAATCCGATCCCGATCTTATTTACACACCAGAATAGAGGTCTATTTTAATTTTTATACATGTAAATTTGGACGACCACCCAAATACACATTAAAATACAATGACGATGTTTTAGAAACTGTAAAATATTTCAATTACTTAGGTATTTATTCTCAAGATCAGGGTCATTTTTCAAAGGCCAAAAAACACTTCGTAATCAAGCACATTTTTAAAAGGCAATGTACGGCATTATCAGAAAAAATCGTTTATATAATCTATCTCTGGACTGTCAGCTAGATCTGTTTGATAAAGTTGTTGTTCCTGTTTTGTTACATGGATGTGAAATATGGGGATTTGAAAATATTGATATTATTGAACGTCAACATTTAAGCTTTCTGAAATATATTTTAAACTTAAAATCTAAAACACCGACCTTTATGGTATACGGGAAACTGGACGTTATCCGATGTATGTGCGCATTTATACAAGAATGAAATTTTACTGGGGAAAACTGATAAATGGGAAAAAGATCTGTAGAATTATTTATTTATATCTTTATAATAAATACACCAAAAATGGGATTAGTAATCCATGGATATCTTTCATACAGAACATTCCGAATACAACGGGGCTATGTAATATTTGGACTAATCAAATTTTTCATAGTGTCAAATGGATTGCAACCGCAATAAACTAAAAGCTCAAAGACCAGTTTTTACAGAAATATTATAGTGATATGAATAAATCAAGTAAAGGTATTACATATAGAATTTTTAAAACAAAGTTTGAATGTGATACATATAGAATTTTTAAAACAAAGTTTGAATGTGAAAAATACTTAACTATTTTACCAAGAAAATTTAGAATTATCTTTTAAAAATTCAGAACAAGTAACCATCATCTTCCAATAGAGATGGGTATATGGAATAATGTTGAAAGAAATGAAAGAGTGTGCAATTTGTGTGATAATAATCAGATAGGAGACGAATTTCATTATTTACTGTGATTTCTGCTCGTCCATAATTATTGTAAATATGTATATATGTACCTCTTGTACCATGTATATGGTTTTTTGAGAGAATAAATGAATTAATTTAAATTAACTACCGGTAAATGCTTCTAAAAATCAGCTAAGACATATAATAAAAGTTTTTAACAATCATGTTTACAGTATTTTGTTCGATATCTATCGATACCGTCCTCGTTGTTTTGTTTTGATTTCGTTGTTTAAAACTAATTCGACAAATCTTTCTTCTTCTTCTTCTTCCAAGTAACTGCAAACTTCCTCTGGAGTATTATCACAGACTTTTATTTGCTCTGCATGCCCAGCAGAAGCGTGCTGTTAAAATCATGTATTTACATGTTTAAAACAAGATGTGTTTGTAAAACACTATGCGCCCGTTGGCAACAAAGTTCGAAAAGGCTATATTTTTAGCATATAGGTCACAGTCAAGGCCACAAGGTCATTGATCTTGGTGTCATTTGAAAGTACTTAATAAGTGGAGTTGCATACCAAAAAATGAAGTCTGTATCTCCTATGGTTCAAAAGTTATGGCAAAAGTTCAAAAAAGCTTCTTTTTTTAGCATATAGGTCACAGTCAAGGTCACAAGGTCATAAACCTTGGTGTCCTTTGAAAAAAAGTTTCAAATATGAAGTCTCTATCTCTTATAGTTCAAAATTTATGGCGAAGTTTAAAGTTGACAACAGACAGACAGACAGAACAGATAAACAGAAAAACAGCCAGGACAAAAACAATATACGCCCTGGATCTATCGATCCGGGCGCATAATAAGGTCATTCGAACAGTTATTAAGACAGCACTATTGTAGATGGTATATGGGTTGAGTTGGCGCAGCTGCTCCTTAAATCCCTCTAAAGTTGGAGCATGGACCACGCTGACTGGGAGGTTGTTCCTTAAGCGGATTGTGGAAGAGAAGGGTTGTTGGTGATTCTGCACTAATCTGGAGTATGGAATTTGGTAGCCGAGACTTTGTCCTCATGTTCTTGTAGCTGATTGTATTAGAAACTAGAGGTACTGTGAGCGATGAGCTCACTAAATGATACCCCCCGCCTCCCATATGGTTATAACTGGTGAAAAAGTCCATGTTTTCCTGTGGCCGGGAAACTCAAAATATGTGTCGGATCAAAAAGTAAAATAGGAGGTGCACAATGGCAATATGTAATAAAGATTCTGTGAAAGTTTCATCAAATTTCATTCAGTGGTATTAGAGGAGTTGCGGATAAGAGATGGGTACCCCAAAGCGTAACAGACGGACGGACGGACGTACAGACGGACGGACGGAATTAACGATTACTATATACCCTCCCACTTTTCAAGCGGGGGGTATAATAAGTATGACAGTGTTGGAATAGCCACTTATAGTCCACTGATGACTCTTTACAGCATTGTAACTTTAAGCATTTCTCTACGGTGTTGGAGAGGGGTGTTGTTAACGACGTTCGATCCTGATATTTAAAGTCTTAAACTTTTTTTGCAAAGTATATTTTTAGTTTTTACATACATAGCTTAATCAAAATTCAAATCAAAAAATGGGGGTCAATACGCTTCTTTTGGCGCTACAGTACATTTAATATGACCTTCTTGCACTGAAATTTGTGTCCTAATTAAAAATTAAATTTTTGACGTTTTACCTCCAATATTTTTATCCAATTAAAGCATGAAACAACATGAACTCTAAGTTTGTTTAAAAAGAGACACTTAAAAATTGTGACTAAGAAAAAGTTTCAAAATGCTTCGCATAATCAATTATTTGACCTTTCTGCACTAATAACAAGTGATTTTTCTGGCATTGAAAATTTGATAAGCAAGAAAATTATTTTAAAGTCTTAAACTTTTTCTGATTTTAAGCAAATAGGTCAAATTTATCTTGAATATTTAGAAAAGGACATCAAAAGCTGGAGTATATGATGTAAATTTTCAGATATTACTAAAAAAGTGTCAATTTTACGTTAAAATTGGCTCAATTTTTTCCCGGATTTTCATTGTCACACTTTGTTGATAGAATTCATAAGAAATAATTTAATAGATATTCCAGAACTAGCATAACACATTTCACTGCAAAAAACAGCTCTGTGTGCAACCAGGATGGGAAAATAGGAATCCAAAATTAACAGTACTGTTATAGTTCAAAATGGACAAACTGATCATTTTCGTCTAGAAAAACCTTCCGCCACAAAATATAGTCCCTAGCTTAATTCTACTTGAATGGAACTTAATCGCGGTTTCTTCATTGGATATAGTTAAATTTGCACTGTAGAATTCAGATTTAATTCTAGAACTTAAAAATGATGCAGAATTTTATAAATAAAGGACCTGACCAAAATACGCTCAAAATCTCAGGATCGAACGTCCTTAAAACGCGGAACAAGAAAACGGAACGGAAAGCGGAAACATGATTTCAGAATAAATCACTTATAATACACATACTTTTATCAGAAACGACACATTTAATACATAATTAATCCATCAATATTAAATACAAGTTGATTAGTTTAGTTATGAGCAGTCCTTCATTCACGAAAATCGCTGACATAGCAGTGACGTGGCCTCGCTATTGAAAGGGGAAATCACAGGCACCTGACGTTACTTATTTTTCTTTTAATAAAAAAATATACCACTACCTTATAGTTTATTATTAGGTAGTGGTATATTTTTTTATTAAAAGAAAAATAAGTAATGCCAGGTGCCTGTGGGGGAATCAACTTTCCTGAAAAGAACTTGACAAGTGAAAAATGAAGACGTATTATAATAAGATAACAAAATACATGTATATACTGAAAAATAAGCATTTTATTTATTTATTTTCTAAATAGCACACAAAGAGGTACTGCCACATGAACTTTAACAGTATGAAATTTTAGCATCATATTTAAAAGGTGACTAACTCAATTTCCTCTTCGAATTTGTAGCAAAAATCTTTGGTTCATTTTGGTAAAATGATTATTTTATGCATACATGATATACTGGTAAGAAATGATTTAAAATTATCAATGCATTAAAGGGACACTGTGACGGAAAAGATGAAAATGGACAAAGTAGAATTTTTGCATGATACATGCAAAGGATGACTGCACTTAAGATATGCAAAATTTGCGTCAAAATAAACTTTCAAAACAGACATTTTTCTAGAAATGTCAGATCAACATCTCATCTACAACTTTGCTTAATTACAATAAATACAAGTATGTATTTACAATATACGAATCTGTTTTCTGAGGTTGGGGTCAACACCATTTCTTCAATCTCCGTACGATAATGAGGACGCCCACTGACTATACAGATTTTACAGTTAAGGCGAGATGGGAACAAACCCTTTATACATAGTCAGCGCATGTTTGTCTATTGTTCTCCTTTTTACAGTAGCTGTATATTTGCATAAGTAATGTTGTTTTAAAAGGAGATTAATAGACAAACATGCGCTAATGGTTAAAAAGAGAAAAAAAAACTGCTTCTTCTTACACTCGCTTTCTCTGTTGTAACCAAGGGCTGTGACACATTGAATATTATAATTTACCACGTGATATCTTCCCTCAGGTAATTTTGTGAATACTAAATTCCGTCATGTAACTTATAGGTAGCATGTTTTTAGCTATTTAGGACACTGTGTTCGAACACGTTGAATAGTCAGCCATCCATTTAACAATATTATTTACTTATACGTTTTAAACCTTTGTAAATAATGTACTTGTGCCATACAGAATAAATAGCAAGATGGAAAATAGAGATCTCGTATTTTTATACCCCCCGCTTGAAAAGTGGGAGGGTATATATTAATCGGTATTTCCGTCCGTTCGTCTGTACGTCCGTCCATCCGTCTGTTACGCTTTGGGGTACCCATCTCTTATCCGCAACTCCTCTCATACCGCTGAAGGAAATTTAATGAAACTTTCACAGATTTTTAATTACATATTGCCATTGTGCACCTCCTATTTTACTTTTTGATCTGACATGTATTTTTGATTTTCCAGAGCAAAAC